CACTTCCCACATGAATAGTAGGCTTTTTAATTTTTTCAAGACTGAAATATTATGTCAGGAATGTATTTTCTTTTCTCTATGATACAGCTGCCTAGCATGGTATCTCCCTGAGTGTGTGTGTGTGTGTGTGTGTGTGTGTGTGTGTGCGCGCGCGTGCGCACACATGCATGTGTCCTTGCTAGATATGATGGGGGCGGATAGAAGCTTCCTAACTTTTCCATTTGCCAATATATTAGTTTTATCCGTTGGCTTATTAATTGTGAAAACTGTTGTCTCTCTCAGGGCAGCAGTGGTGTTTCTTCTACACAGGCTATTCTATATGACTAGGTAAAATTTGGTATAGTTCATTTCTTTTGTGCAGTCATTTTCTTTGGTTTGTTTTGATGTTCTGGAACCTTCTGATTTAAAACTTATTTTGTTCTTGTTATTTGACGAACCAGGTATCACTGCCTAACCTGGTCAGTTATCATCCAAATATAGCCGAAACTGTGTATAGGACTGGAGTTTTCTGGGACATACGTGTGGTGAAAGACCAGAGATGAAAAATAGTTTCTAAAGTATTAATCCAGATTAAGTGAAATAAAACTGTGTTTAAAATACTTCATCTTCTCATTTTTATTATTTGTACACATAGCAATTATGAGAAGAAGCTGATGTACAAAATTAATGTATGTTTATACTGGGCAATATTTACTTTAGATCATACGAGTGTAAACTGAAGAGAAAGCAAAAAACATGTTATGTTATTTTCCTTATTTGTATTGTGTCTTCCCTCTCACTCAATTCCTCCAATTGTCTCCTAGATTAAAAATACGTATTGTTTCTATGGGTGTTTTTATTTGTTAGCTTTTTAGATTTTTTTCCTCTTCTATCATCTACCATGCTTGTTGGGAATAAAAGAAAATAATAATGCATATTATTTTAATTATCTTCTATTGTTCAGATGATATGAAGTCATTTTGAAGTAAAAGACAACTGTATCAGGCAAAATTTACACAGCAGTGTAAGGGCTTTTTACAGCACTTGCTAGTGCTAATGACATTTTGCCAGTTACTGATATTAAGGTGGCAACAGGCCCGTAGTAGCAGCATCTGAAACTCACCTGTATTTCTGCCATTCCGGCAGATTTATGCACACCTGGGGTCAGCCACACCCAGTTGCTATCAGTCAGCAGTTTCACACACGTGCCGGTGTGTATGTTTTCATTCAAAATTTCCTCTTGAAACTCAACTAAAGAGTGTTAACTGTGTGTGTTTTTTAAATTCAGTTTTGTATGCTAGCATTCTTTAAATGTCTGCCAGAACTTTAATTTGAATTTCTGATCCCTGAAGGCAGCTAGGCAGAATCATTATAGTTCTTCATAAATTGCCTTTTATGATTCATTGTTAACGCATAAAACATACACATTTCTATATACTCAGACAGTTAAGGTACTTACAGTATTGGGGATATAATTTTTTGCATTGTATTTAAATTTTCATTTGAGAAAGAAAGCAAGAAATAAGTTGAACTGTCAATTAAGGCATGAGCCCTGTAGCATAGAAAATATCAGATATTAATGTTATTTTTTTTTCTCAAGGAGGGTAAAGTAGATGGCATAGAATCAGGGAAAAAAGTTTTAGTTTTGACTGAATACTCTCAAAGAGGGGCCCGTAAATATTAGAGTACTGTAGTGAAAAACTCACATGACTGTTTTAAATACTATTGATGTAAACCATGGGCTAGATTTTATGAATCAACGTGTAATTTCTAAGCTTTGACCATATTTTTCAATGCTAAAGCACTCTCTCTTGTGTGCCTTTAGCTGCTTTCCAGACATTCAACACAGGATTAAATGATAGTAGTTGCAGTGATCAATAGGTTAAGACTGGTACAATCACTCTTGCTGCTAATGACCTCAGTAGTAATGGGCAATAAAGTGTGGGCTCTAATAGCCTCTCGCTGGTACTGCATGCCCTTTGATTCCTGGTATTAGTAGGGACTGGCTATGTGAAAAACTGGAACATTGGGAGTTTAGGGAGGGGTATGTAGGCTATAAATCTTAGCTGTTTAAAGCCTTAAAATGCGTTCACCCCCTCCCCCTACCCCACACACACCTTTCTATCCCACAATGGTTTCTGTCCATTTGGGTATGTTTGCTAAAGCTTTCCAGAACCTATTTTCATGACATGGAGCATAAACTTTGGGGAAGGAAATCTCAGTTTTATCACATTTATAAATTAATCTCCAGTCCACTTTGGAGGCTCAAAGCTAACTGGTGTGAAAATGTGGTTTCGGATAGTAAAAGCAAAGGTAAGGCCATCGGGATATAATAGCCCACTTCTGATTATTCAGAGGCCGATCCCCAAGCTGGAGGATTACTCAGGCTTCTTGCCTCTTTCTTCCCTTTGGCTGTGCCTGCTGCTTTATGCATTTTAAAACTCATCAGCACCTCCATCTTAATGTCCAAAGGGAAAAAGGAGGAGAGACCCAAGTTCACTTTTCTGTTTTGTAACATGACTACAAAAATTGAATAACTATGGGAAGAGGAAATTTATACTGTTGGCTGTATGTAAAGATTTAAAAATTATATGTCAGTCCTTTTAACTTTTTTAAATTGATTTTATTGAAGTATAATTTGCATATTATAAAATGCACTCATTTTAAGTGTACATTTGGGAAAATTTTGATCATTTTATACATCTGTGTGACTTCCATCCCAATCAAGATAGAGGGCATTTTCATCAGCCCCCACAAAATTTTCTTGTACCCCTTTCTAGCATAGGCTTTCCACAGTTCTTTTAAAAATTGTGATCAAGTGTGGTTTCTGTGATGATTTCTGCTGTAACACTGTTAATTTTGTGTTCATCGCCAGTTTAGATCTTACACCACCCTATTCCTGTCTATTTTCTTGTTCATCGCCATCAGAAATTTGGCTCAAGAGTATTTACATTGCACATCATCCAAGGAACACAGAGGAGAAAAGAACCTTAAATGTGGTTCTTTTGTTTACTTAATCAAGCCTCCCAGTATGATGATGCAACTCTCAAGGAAAAGTAAACTTCTGTTGTGATATCTTGGCTTTAGCAGCTCAGAAGATAGTGATTGTCACCCAAATACATAATGAAAAATTCAAAATGTAAGACAAAGTAGAGTAATTGGAATTAGTTTACAGATGGTTAGGTGTTTTTCGATAATGTCTTCTTGGTGTTTGCCTTGGATTGAAGTCCACTGTAAACTGTTGGTGATATTTTTGTGTTTGGAAGTAGTGTCTTTTTTTAGAAGGATAATTTATCCATTCATATACATCTGTCCCTTTTTGCATGTAAAAATATTCAGACATTCCCATCTGTTTTAAATTACAATGTATCTACATCCACATTTGAAAGGCCGCTGCAATAGAAAGAATTCGTTGATGACCTTCCAGAGTTGGGTTAATGAAATTTTTCAAATGTTCTGGTTAGTGTTTTCCAAACAATGAGAAACTTATATATAAACATCCTCACACAAACATACCCGAGACAACAGTGCAGGGTGTTCACTGTACATGAATCTGACCTTCAAGAACCATTTTTAGTTCATCAAAATTAGTGATGCTGAGAAATCGGGACATCAGTGCATAATGACTGTGAAATTAGGAATGAGAGCTTGCTATGCAAATGACAGGACAAATCATGTGAAAAAGTCAAGATAAACTGCTTATTAAGGCATTATGTTACATAAAATTAATACTGCATTTCTCGATTTTTGCTTACTGTTCCCCTGAAAGATTTTTAAATTCTTTTATCTTTTGATCAGCTATTGTCTGCTGGATTTTTTTTAAAGTGGCACACAGGCAAAGTGCAAAACATGTTATTACCTTTTATTGTAATACATGAAATGACAGCAGATCCTTTGTAACAAAGTATATCCTTTACTGCTTCTTGCTGTCACATGTTTGATTAGAAACCAAAGAAAAGTAAGATGCTTAAATATTACTGTTAGAAGACATACAGTTTTGTCTTTTCTTTCATTGTTTTTTTCTTTCCTTTTTTTTTAAATTTGGGGGGGGTGATTTTTCATGAAATAGTCTCCTTGTATTACAGGGACTGACAAAATGGTTCTCAATGTAGTCTGCAAATTAAACACAAGTGCAGTGATTATTTTGAATAGCTAAATTACATTCTAGAAAGCTTGCAGAATTCATAGCATTGTCATTAGGTATCCGCTTGAATACAATTTGTGTAACCTTGGCCAAGACAGCCTGTCATTTTAATGTCAGTGTTTTATCTGAACAAGACATCATCCTTTCAAGATACTGTGTGCAGGTTCCTTGCAGAGATGCCCGTGCAGAAATGTGTTAACAGTTGCAAATATGAAATGCTATCAAGTTCATCACTGGAGCTGTTTGTCACTGAAATGTCATGGAAAGCAGCTTTAATGGTATCACACATAATATGAAAGAACGGAGACATCTGTATGCTGGGTGAATAAGGAAGGGCAAAAGGCATTGTAGGAAGGGTCTGTGTTTAAGTTCAGAAGGTGTGTCCAAGGTTCAGTTATCCACAAGACTCAGCATCCCTTGATTGTCCTTAAAGTCACGATCCACAGAGGAAATGAATCATGTGAGCTCCAGCTGCACAGGTACTGGATCCCATTTGCCTTCTTCGCTAAAACAAAATTCAAGTTTGTGTTGACTTCCTACAGCTCACTCTGACGGAAAACTCATTAATAAGAAATTGAAATTGTTCTAACCGAACTGCAGACAACATTAGCTAAGCCTTCTGTCCTTGTCTGCTTGCAAGAATGCCTGAAACACCTGTCAGTGCTGCAGGGTTTTCTTTCATTATTTGCTTAAAATAAACTTCATAATAGATTCAGTAGGCTCTGTTGCTACCTCCCCTCTGGATAAGTACATTGTGCATGGGAAATTGGTCAGTTCTTGAAGCAGTCTGGTGACCCACAGCCACTGAACCTAGAAAGGCTGAGTGCTGTGTGTATGTGGTTTCCTGGCTCCTGCTTATCCTGTGCTAACGTTTTAGGTGCCCGTGTCAGTGGCTATGATGACACCTCAAGTCATCACTCCCCAGCAAATGCAGCAGATCCTCCAGCAACAAGTGCTGAGCCCTCAGCAGCTCCAGGTTCTCCTGCAGCAGCAGCAGGCCCTCATGCTTCAACAGGTAACTGTCCTTCCTCCTGCTCTGTGTCTTGCACACCTGCCCATCACTCCAGTCAGGTTGCCCTCACCTGAGCAGCAGCTTTCCTCCTGGCAGAATAAGCACAGCAGGGAGTGTGGGGCAGGACAGATTTCATCTGCGTCCCTGAAAGAGAGAAACTCTGCCAGAGTTACTGGGTGTGGACCTGGAGCGCACCTGATGGACTGAGAATAGGGCTGTAATTGGACTTAGTGGAAATAAGATCTTTTAGGCTTATGTGGCTTTACATTCTTTTATTTGGTAAGCCCAGAGGCCTCTAAATGATGTGAATCAAAGCAGAGTGGGGAGAACATTGGAAACGAGTTTAATGGAACAGCTCTTGAAGTCGTGACTTCAACTTAGAAACTTACCAAGTTTTGTTTTTTTGCGGGTTTTATTCATTTATTTATTTTTCTTAAAGAACCATTTTGAGGTTGGCTAATCGTAAGGTACATAGTTGCCTTTATTTTTTTCACCTGTGCTAATGCTGAAATGAATTTCTGGCTGCGATTGTGCTATGGAGGCCTAATCTTCAGACTTCATGAACACCTGAATGGAAAAGATGAGATTCAGTACTATAGTGACCAGCATTGCGGGGTGAGGTGTGGGGACAGGGTGCAAAGGAGGCTGGCTTACCCATGGTGCTGATGCACACATTAAATAGCCTCAGCTTTTTTCAACCCTATCATTTAGGACGTGTGTGCCTGTTTTGCAGTGGAGATTCACCAGACTCTTTCAGCAAGGGCATGTTGGCTTTGTTGTACAATCAAAGGTCATCCCTTGCCTTATTTTAATTAATTTGTGTAGAAAATGGTATGTTTTTCATCAGTTCATTTGGGATATTACTTTTCAAACAGTAATGCCAAGACTAGGCAGTGTGTGCTGAAATTTATTATCAAGTTTCAAACTAAAGGTCAGGCCATTACAGATAAAAGGATGCTATTTTTCAAATCACCGTTTGTGTATGGAACCAAGAGGGACAGTGGACTGGCGCTACCCTCTGTGACTTACCATCCTCTCCTTTCTTTATAGCAGCAGCTTCAAGAGTTTTATAAAAAACAACAGGAGCAGTTGCAGCTTCAACTTTTACAACAACAACATGCTGGAAAACAGCCTAAAGAGGTACCGACAATACATATTTTACTTTCAAACCACAGATCCCAGAGGACTATCTAGTGGCTATTAAACTGTCATTCATCTTTTAAATGATTGCACAACTGAGCTGACTCTATCGGTTCTCAGCTTTCAGACCAAGAATTATTGTCCTGTTTTCGCGCAGATTTTTCTGAGTTCTATTTGTTTGCTATCATGTATTTTATAACACTACTTCAGGTATACCTCGTGTGAGCACTGGGAAGTGAGATTGTGGGCAGAACCTTCCAGGCTCCTTTCACAAGAGGTACCTGGGGGAAGTGAAGCACTTTTCAGTAAAATTTGATTTCGACACACACTTGATTATTTTTTCCAGCTCAGAGAACTTAGGTGTGTGGTGATGGCCTTTTTTGTAATCTCTTGTGAGGCTGGACAAACAAAAAGTTAGAGCAAGATTAAACACCTACAATCTTAGTTTAACTTCTTCCTGCAAGTTGGCCATATAGTAGATGCTAAAGGCAAGTCTGCAGTAACACAAATTAAGATTACAGAATTCTCCAGTTTGGAGTGTGTGTGTTTCCCTAACAAAAGATAGTGCATTATAGCAACTTCTATTTTCACAGTACTTTGAAAGTAACACAGTTATTGCACAGTATCCCACCCAGTTAAGGGACAATATTAGTTCCATGAATGGTAAGGCCTTTGACAGGGAGAGGGGTTCCCCTCACCTTCTGTACTGTTCTTTTGTGCATGAGTCTTAGTCATTTTGAGGGAGTATTTTTATGCACACATGCATTATCGTGACATCTTTCTACTCATTCCAAAGTTATCCTATGTAACTTAACTTCCTCATATTTTTACAGTGACTGAAATGCTTTTCATTTAAGTGTGCTCCTTGGAATGGCAGAATTTATAGCTCGATAAACAGCTCAATAGTCCAATTTAAAAATGGCTTCTTAGTGAAGAAGCCCTAGGCAGGGGACCACTTTCCTTGGTTGGGAAGGAGTCTTCCCAGGTGACTTGCCACACAAGCGTGGAGGCCAGGAAGCACTGATTTTACCCACTGGGAATGACCCAGACCTTCTCCCTTTGTCGGTTCCTCCCTCAACATAAATTGGGTGCATTTTCCATACCCTTCCAAGTTTTCACCCTGGAGTCCTCTTTATCAGCCTGTATATAACCCCCTGTAGAGTAGGGGCAGTTTCGGGGTGAAAGGGAGGAGGTGCTTTAATGAAAATGCTGACACAACCTATGTACAGTGGTGTGCTACTGGGTGCTGCTATAATAGAAAAAGGAAACAGATTAAAAAGTGTCTAAAATGTAAATCTAAAGGACTAACAGTAATTAAAATGGAAATGGCACAGGGAGGGAAGGCATGTAATTGTGAGATATCACTGTGCAGAAGGCTCTCAGCTTTGTTTTGCTGGCTGTTTTTCTAATTCAGTAGGGCTTACTCATCAGTGGCAGTTCAATGCGCGTTAATGACTCTGGGATTGCAGGCATCACTCTGGACAAAGAAATGATTATTGTGCGGTCAAAAGAAGTTCAAAGACAAGAAGGGAATTTCAGTTTTTCCCTTAGAGATCCACATTCAAGAGCATATAAATTAAGCCAAATGTTAAAAACCACAGTCTGAAAGCTGACTTCAAAGTCACAACTCTCTAATTAATGAACTGCGAGCTTCAGTTTGGACAAGTTGTGGTTTGATGCGCCCATAAATCAACATGACAGGCCTGTTTCTCAGTCTCAGACAGTGCTTGTCATTGAGTCACATCAGATGTAAACACAGCAGAAAAAAGAAGGGATATGAAGGAGGTGCAATTGATCAACAGAATTGGTAAAAACCCACTTTTGAAGCACATTATGCATGATCACAGGAAATGGTTACAGCCTCAAGAGGTTTCCCCTTCTGCCGTTGCTTTTTTGAATCAGATTTCTAACAGCCTTCAAAAGGGAGAATAAGAATTATGGAGTTTCTCCCCTGTGGCTCACAGGCAATAACCCCCTGTTGTTATTTTGTGCTTCTTTCTTTTCAAAGGCATCAAAATTTAGTTTTTTAAAGATCTTTAACTCTATACTTGAAGACAAACAAAAAAGGGCTGCCACTGTCATTCTTATCAGTTACCAGGGATTGTGTTTTTCCTTTCTGTTGCCACTTCTTATTAACCTCTTATTTGGTCTGTTAGACATAGTTGGGAATGCACATCTGCATGCTGGGAGAACATGAAAGTTCAGATGTGTTCAGAGGGCAGATAAAGAAATGTGAAGGGGAAAGTTACGCAGCAGAAGGAAGGATAAAAGTTAACTCTCCCAAATTGCTGCTGTCAGAAAGCGGGCATCTAGGCATACAGAAATGCTGCTGGTGTCTGAGTTTGGGAAGGGTGGTGGGAAAGGAAAGGGAGTACTTTTCTCCTGAACAAGGAGGTGAGAGATTGCAGTAGCATTTTAGCATCTCCAGGACATTAGGTTTGCTGTGGTCACACTTTGTCGTCCATTTTGAAGGCAAAGGTAGTTAACAAAATGTATGTTGCCTTAACATCCTGAGGGTAGACAGACACACTGGCAGGTCTGCTTGGATTCCAAGATATGTTGGTCAAGACCCATTGTAACACTGATTAAGAGACTCTTAATTTCCTGAGGTAGTCTCCTGAAACTATGCAGGTGGTGGTCCTTTTGTGCTACAATGAAATAGAGTCACAAGGTAGCAATTTCATAATGTGGAGTGGTGGTATTGACTTTAAACAAGGTTTGAACTTGAATGTTGACAGATGGAACAAGTATATTAATTTACTGAATTCCCAGTCATTAGTGGCTCATAATTTTTAATTGTCAAATTTTCTTCCACCATCCCCCCTTCCCTCTTTTGATTACCTTTGCTGTAAGTCACTTGAACTCTGGCCAAAACAACAAACCATCCCTTGCTTTTTTCCTAAAGCTGCCTCAAAGATGTTTCCTTGGTAAAGTTGGGTTCCACACTGAGTTAGACCTGAAACCTTCCTTGGGAGATAGACAGATACTCTTTGGCCCCCATGCAGCTGGTGAATCAAGCAACTGCTTACAGAGCGGGTGTGGAAAATAGAAGGCAGAATTAATAGTAAGTCAAGCCACAAACGAAGTTCCCATCCTGTGTGGGTGAGGTAGGCTAAGTTGATTGTTTTAAAAGGGCCGTTTGTCCCAGGCAGTTATGACAGTTTATGTTAGGCAGTAGGGAGGAGCCGAAGAAAGGAAAACAGACCTTTGACTGCAGCTCCAGGGAGGGTAGTCGAAATGCAAGGTTTATCAGGGCATTTGAGCATTTTAACACTGACTACTGACCTGTTGAGGGGACTGCACGGAGACCTTTTTTGTGTGCATTCAATTGTGAGAAGTAAACAAATGGGCTCGTATCCTGTGTTTGGTAACTGGGTGGGGAGCAGTTTGGCAACCACTGTTGCTTTTAAATTCTTTCTTTGGACAATGGGCCTTGTATACTTTTATATCCTGGCTTTTCAAACGTGGACAGCTTTCATGAGCTTTCCTAGGGATGGCCACAGTGACAACAGAAAAGCCATCAGTCATTTTATATAAATACACAATTTTTTAAACATTTCATTTACAGTAAGACAGGAAATACCCTCCCTAAACTCAAACACACCCCCATTATTTTCTTCTTCAAGAAGAGATAGAGACCTGATCTTTTATTTTATCAGTGTTGGTTTTTTCTTTTCCCTCCCCCCTTATTTTAAAATGCCATGAATTAATATTTTTTGAAAAAGTGAAAAGTCATTTTGACATGAATATAACTATCATTGGGTTTTACATTAATGTGATAACTTGGGAAAGGGTGAAAACAAGTGGATCATTTTATGCATGCTGTTTTTAAAATGAAAACACTGGCTTTTCATTTAAATTTATTTAAATTTTTGTTGTTAGTGGTATAGAATTTGTTTTTTGGAGTGAAACTCAATTAACTTTCTCAGTGGCATGATAGTAAGTCTGAAATTGGTTGCTAATATGAGAATGATGGTTTTTTTACTGTAAAATAAACTACATGGAGACTGAAAGGAAACCACCATTTTTCTCTTCCTTTGACCTTGGCATCAGAAGGTCTTGATCTGTACACCCTTTTATGGAGGTATCAGATCGAGGTTATGCGTTAGGTTAAGTGAAGGCGGTTGTTAGTAAAGTGTGATAATAAAAAGCTCTGACAGGGTTGTGTAGTCCTGTTAGTTGCAAAGTCTCCCTGATATTTTGATTAATACTTCGAATTAGCAAAATGGATCTTGTTCTTTTCCTAAAGAATTTTTTTGGGGGGGGCTACAGATGGGGAAGGGTTAATTTTCCCTTTAGAATTGTTAGCACTGATGTGGCTGAGACCTCCACCTTGATCTGATTCCTCACAGATTAAGGATATGAGATAATTTCCCTCTATTTTTGTTCTGCTGCACTGGATTATCTTTCTATCACTCAGATAATTACTGAGGAAATCTACATTAATTTTTTTGGCTGGAGCAAGGCCTGCTAAACACAGGAATGATGTATTGATGTTTTACACAACACAGGTTTTCCTCCTGTCATTGTCCAATCAACAAAAAGATATTTATCAAACCGTAAAGCCCCTTCTTTTCAAGAACAAAGCCCGGGGAAGCTGGACACCAGCCCCGAGGGTTCTGAAACTCTAGCCCAGTGAAAGCATCTGAAGCTTACAGTGTCCTTCATATGAGACACAGTTGAGTATGGTGTTGTTTGCTGAATTATGAATGTGTGTAATTAAAATCTAGTGGCTGTTTTCTATGAAAGATTTACAATGTTATTTCATCGTTTGTCATGGCTAATTAACAATATTAGATGAAGTTTTTCTTCTTCAAATGTCTGATTTTTTTTCTCATTTATTTATGTCAAAAGTGATAAACAGAGTAGTTAAAAGCTTCTCCCAGCATGGGAAGGGGGCAGCTTATTCTTACACACCTCAGAGGTCCAGAGTTCCAATCTTTGTACATTGTGGTGTTGCAGTTTTCTTTCTAGTGTGTCTAATTAAAGATATCAAAGTTCACATGTTGACTACCAAACTCATGCCTTTCTAACTATAGGAAGAGCTAATATGATTGATGAGTTCTTTTCCTGTGTGAGCACAGCAGGCAGGCTTGCTTCCACTCATCACCTGGCTTCAGAGCTGTGGTGTTCAGTCCTTTTCACATGAGTCTTGACACTGAGCCTCCACTCAACCCTAGTGACCACTGTAAGTGTTGAACGACGACAGTAGTTTCAGACATCCCAGTGTCAGCATTGGATGATGTGATGGTTTCGGACATCCCACTGTCAGTGTTGGATACTGCTGTGGTTTTGGACATACCACTCTCAGTGTTGGATGATAATGGTGGTTTTGGACTTCCTGCTATCAGTGTTGGATGATGCAGTGGTTTTAGACATCCACATCTCATATTCCTGGGGCACAGGTCTCACTCTCTCTTGCAACAGCAAATGTCTACCATCTCATGTTCTTCTCCCTGGTCTCTCTTTCTTGCAGCAGGTGGCTCCCCAGCAGCTGGCTTTCCAGCAGCAGCTCTTGCAGATGCAGCAGCTCCAGCAGCAGCACCTCCTGTCCTTGCAGCGCCAAGGCCTCCTCACACTGCAGCCGGGCCAGCCCTCACTGCCCCTCCAGCCCCTTGCTCAAGGTGGGTGAACTGTGTACAGGTGCCAGGGTATGTCATGGTAAGGTCCAGCTCTTCACTGAGGAATGTCTTATCTGAAACATGCACACACAGAAGAAAAGCTGGATGAAGTAGTGATGATGAACCTTTGGAGAAGTCACAGTTCTTGTTGACACCACAGTTCAAAGGGAGGATGGTCTGATGGTTTAACCTGGTGACCCACTGATGCATATTCTTACAATGGGAGAAAGCCATGCTCCTCAACTTACTAGCATTGCAATCAGATCTAGCGTTTTCAGTTTAGAATCACAAATGAATTTTTTTGAACTTTTTTTTTCTTTAGGCATTTTAAGCTGTTTTCTGTCATGTACCTTGTTTGAAATCTTAGTAGTGCTTTATAAATGTCACTTTTTAATATCTAGGGATAGATTCGGGTTTATTTTTGTGTAAGCAGTTAAGATTAAACTCTTTAACCCTGGCTAGTGTGGCTCAGTTGTTGGGCGTTTTTCCACAAACCAATAGGTCTTGAGTTCAATTCCTGGTCAGGGAACTTGCTTAGGTTGTGGGTTTAGTCCTAGTCAGGCGTGTACAAAAGGCAGCCAATTGTTGTTTCTCTCTCTCATTCTCCTTCCATTTCCCTCTCTCTAAAATCAATAAATGTTTCTTCAGGTAAGGATTAAAAAAAGATTAAGCTCTATCAAATATGAAAACGAGTTTTTTTGTTGACTTTTCTCTCATTTTTCCTTTCTATTTTACCTTCCTGACTGTTGATTTTTGGGCAGGTTAGTTATCTCTAGGTTTTCTTCAAAACCTGAGGTTCTTTGAAAAATAACAATATTTCATACATTTAAAATTTTCTTTTTAAAATTCCAATGGATGTTGGGCATGAAAAACAAGTTTTTCTACCTGTTTTTAGGACAGCCTCTTGGTTTAAGCAACTCAGCTTTCACATGTGTAATATAAATGCAAACCAGTTGTTCAGAACCAGGAAGAAGGAGAGAAGATGGTGTTATTCTGTGTTGTAAAAGCATCTCCCTGTACCCTACACGCTGCAGCATGTCTCACTGTCTTCTCTAGGCCCCTAGTCTTTTTAGTTCTAATACATTTGAAGGTATATATATATGTTCCCTAAAGGGTGGCTGGCAGCTAAAGTCTGTTTTGTCTTGGTTTCAGTGGCCTCCTAAAGAGGGTTGAAAATGGGGAACTTCCTTCACTCTACATGGTGCATAAGGCATGGACCTTGGTCACAAACTTTTCATGTCAGGTGGAACAGTGAAACATATCTGCATTTGAATCATCTCTCTTGAATCAACCACAACCAATTTCTGTCCCATCTGGGAGTTGGTTTATGTTTTTAGTATTAAGACCGGGGCTTTTTCCTCTAACTACTGTTGTCCCTCTTCCCCTTTCTGCCATTACTGCTCAACTGCTTGATAGATAACCTGCATCTCTATTGCTGTCAAAATAGAAGATTTGGTAACTGAGCAAATAAAATATCCTGGGAAAAGAAAGGGCACATTGGCTAATGTATTGTTGTGCTTGCAAATGTTACTACATCCACTAATTACACCTTTGGGTTTATTGTTGGAAACATTGCAGGCTGTTCTGACACACCCACTGGACTCAGGTGTCAACCTCTCTCATCTTTTCCCTCTGCTCCAATACTGTTAAGTTTGCCCACTAAAGTTCATTGTTGTAGTACATCAGTTAAGCTGTCCAAAAGAGGGCAATTGGGCAGTGACAAGACAAGCTCATGTGTAATGTGAAAAAAATGAATGTGGTGATGCATGAAGTGTAATCTCTGCAGTAGCATATCAGAGACACTGGTAGGTAATTCACTAGCCATGGCATTGATTGATATGCTTAGCAGTGTGCCATAACTATTAGTCCCTGCAACATTAGGAAGATGCGTATTTAAAATCTAAAGGATTCCTTTATGTATGCCTAAGAAGCATAAACATTAAATATTTCTGGAGTCAGGTGCTTGCAGTCAAGTGAACTCCCAGTGTCATGAGCATCTTTTGAGGAAGGAGAAAGTTGATTTTGTTTCCCCTACCCCTTCATCCAAAGTGCCTTGAGAATTCAGTTATGTTGGACTACAACACAATTTTTTTCTGATGTCATTATGAGGTTTAAATCAACTTTCTGCTTGCTCGAACATGGTCACCTGGGTATGAGTGCACAAGGACAAAAAAAGGTTGATCAACTCTTTCTTTGAGCCAGTGATAACTGGGGTTGTAAAATTGAGTTCCATGAACAGTAATCTGTCAACTGTCCCCACAACATACATTTTTTAAACCTGTGTCTGCATTTTCTTTTATAATGAAGGGGCCAGTTATCCTGGAAAAAGAAAGGTAGCAAGGCAAAGGGGTTATGTGTTAAAATAGCAGGAAATGCCCACCTCATGATAAAACCCTGAAGATTATTTTACATACTGCTCGTGACCTTGGCTAAGTTACCTTAAACATGTATGTAAATATCAAAGTATAGGAGTGGGGAGAGAGAAATATTTTGAAGGCCCCCTTTTTCCCCTGAAGGTTTTGAAATGGAGGCATATTTTTGTTGTTTTTAAGGTTATTTTAGGGCCTTTTCTCTATCTTACATAATTGGTGTATCTGTTTTTCTCCTTGGTCTCTTTAATCATACGATCTTTCCCAGTGCCAGTACTTTCATATAGAAATATATTTTCAATGTCATTCTGATCATTTAATTTGTAAGTGCAAACTATAGATAGGAGAACATTCATTGCTTGTTAATGGATTTAATTCAGTAGGATTATTCCTCTCTACCATTTTGGAAGAAATGCTTAGTTTCTAGAAATTTGATATCCATTTAATCTGATGAGTGACTAGTTTACCTTTTATCTGTCTTAATTCTGTCATGCGGTCTTGGCTGTCAAAGAACAGCGTCCTTGAACAACACTAACAAGGTGTAGCACTGATGGAGGAAACTGGTTTGACTGCTTTCTTCTAAATCTAATGAAAATATTCTTGAATGTAATTATTATATTGAAATTTGACCCAGAAGTCCATGGGTTGTCAGTCAGTGAGTTACTGTTTTATTTACCATCTCTCCCTGTGGATGATGAAACCGATTGACCAGCTTGTTGGAATAAAAGGAGAGTAGCTGAGAATTTTCTCTGTAAGTTTAACAAGACATTTGTCTCTGTCTTTATTTGCTAGATGCACAGATTACTTTTAGTTTGTGTTTATTTTTTTTAACAGGCTTAATTTGCTGTATTTTTTAAATGACTTCAAAGTTCTGCTCTTTTTTTCAGAGGGAAAGTGCTAACACATATGTTAGACCGGCGTTCCTCCAGTCTTCTGCCCACCTCCCTTGCAGCTGACCCAGAAATCAGTTAGTTTGAATGGAAAAATAGGCTGCCATTTCTTTTCAAGTATATTTACTCCCTGGAAAATAAAAATAGGTGTTGACTTGATATAGCTTTATATCAATATGCTATCACCAACAGACAAGCCTATTCACTGTTTCAATTGAGTAACCAGTGGTCCAAGGGCCAGCCACATTCACAGGTAATTGTTGGTGTGTAGACTTCAGTGGCAGGCCTGTCAGCGACAAACACATCCCACATGTCACTTCACAAGATGTTTGAAAATAATAACCCAGATGCAGCAAACCTGGACACAGGATTCTATAGTGACCTTTCCCTTTGTTTAATTTGCCTCTGAGGTTTAATTTCAAGGGACAAGTAATAATTGAATATGCCTACTGACTAAATGCTCATTTGGGACAAAATCCATCAAAATATAATTGGCATTTGATTTTTGTGAAGGAAGAAGAAAACTGACTTGGCTGTTGAGGATGCATTCTAAGAATATCTGACCACTTAATGTATCATTTGAAGCCACCTTTATAATATATATTAATTGCAAATCCTTCAGCATTTGAACATTTTTGTGGAGAACCATTAGGAGAGTCCAGCTGTTTTTGTTACTGCTCCTCTCAGAAAGGCGGAGAAGGTTATTGGTCTGCTGTGCAATAATTTACTCCTCTTTGATATGCAAACGATCCACGGTGAATATAAAAAAATCCTATCAGACTCATTTCACAGTTCTTAACCACTCGGATTCTCTGGAGTCCATCGCCTCATTAGACCAGTGCTCTCCAATGCTAGCATAATTAAAATCTTTAACAGTTTAGCAAAGTAAAGATGTTTGGCTGATCACATTGAGATGATTATCTATCCATTGTATTCTAAATGACAAAAATAAATTAAATTTAGACCTTGGCATTTTTTATTATGTGTTTCAAATGAATATAATGCACACAGCCTTCTTTTTTAATTCAATACCTTAGATTTGGTAAGAAACATGCCTGTTTCAGTTGCCGCTGAATAGTCAGAAAATTACCAGCTTTCTACATGTTGTGTTAGTTGAGTGAAACCAGGAACTGCGGAACTGCAGCCCAGACGTCCAGTCCTACCGTAAGATTGCCTTCTGATAGACAGGGCTCATATTCTCTCTTAGGTGTCTTCTCAAAGGAAGTTGCACTTGCTGTTAGTTGCTACTTAGACTATTTTTCTCCTGTGCATGTATGCATTAGAACATGCCTTGAGGTAGGATTTGGAAATCCTAGGCTGTAGAAGCATGTCACCAGAATAAAGGCTATGAGGCTACAAGAGTGAGATGCGCATACTAATTCTATCTCTTGGGGATTTAAAATATAGGTTGACCATTACTCTTTAAGACCCACGTCCATTTTGATCCCCTTAAAAAATGAGAACTTTATTACTCCAACTTTACATTTTCATTTTATTCTGTAATGGTTCATTAGCATTGATCTAAGAAATGACAGTGATAATAGTGTTACTTGTATAAAAAGTTATACAGTTTTTCAGTAGACACATCCATCAATTAAGCATGTGGTACTAGAAACCAAAATTAATGAGGAAGATAGGTGTGTTAATGAAATAATCATAGTATAATCAATTTGACTGTTAAAAGTTGAAAAGCATTTCAGGAAGATGATATGAATTCATAATTTATGTCTAAAAGTGATTAATAAAAACTATATTTAATAACAAAGCTATTTGTCATCATTTAAGACTTCAGCACAAAAATTACTCATTTTGTGGTTCATGTTGTCATAATAGTATTGCCGAACAAATTTATTTTGAGCCCTTCTTTGTGTCTAAAAATACATAACATCTATCTACTTTTTTTTCTCCCCTCAAATCTAGAAACCATAGTTTGGATGGAGGCATACTGTCTTGGCAGAATAGCTGTGTTTTGATGAGGACACTTCACCTGTGCTCAGGGGAGGACAGGGTTGTTACTACCATTATTTGCCTTAGTTGGGAGGGAAAGAAAACTGCATATACCAAAAAAAAAAAAAAGAAAAAGAAAAACACAAAAAACCCTAACACTAGGCTTTGTTTACTGACTCTTTGATTTAATTACTGTTTGAAGAGGACAGAATTGGCTCTTAATTGATTCAATTATCCAATTTGTTTGTTTCAGGCATGATTCCAACTGAACTGCAGCAGCTCTGGAAAGAAGTGACGAGTGCTCATACTGCAGAAGAAACCACAGGCAACAATCACAGCAGTTTGGATCTGACCACGACATGTGTCTCTTCCTCTGCCCCTTCCAAAACCTCCTTAATAATGAACCCACATGCCTCTACCAATGGACAGCTCTCAGTCCACACCCCCAAAAGGGAAAGGTAGGAATGGCCCCTGAGATGTGTCCACAAAAGTCTTTAATGTGGAGGGTGGGTGGTTGTGCCTTATCATATCTCCACAATCCCTAATTGGCTCCTTGTGACTTGAATATGCATATAATTACTTATGAATGTATTCAGTATTGTTTGGGTGTGAAGCATCTAATTATTTTCACCTTTCAAGATGAAATTAGCATGTGTATAGATCTAACCTAAACTTAGAGACCTAGGCAAAGTCTTTTGGTTTTGAGGCTTCCAGGCTTCCTCTGTCTGCCAAGCACTCACTAATACAAACATTTCTTTGCCTCTAAATGCCTTCTAAGGGAATGGCAGTGTTTGCTGTGGGTTTGAGACAAAATATAACTTAGCCTATTCTCCACTGCTCTCCTTAAAGTCGGGGAGCCCATCTTTTTCATCATTGTGCCCCCAGAGCACATAGCCTTTTAAAAAGCAAACCTTTGGTTAAGGTTTGAAGGATGGAGAGATGGAAGAGGCCCATGTGCATATATACACTCAAACATAAAGAGCACCCCTTCTCTTGATCATGGGATATATTGTAGCATTGTCTCAGTTGCTATATTTCTGTTTGGAAGTTAAGATTTGATACTTTAAATAGCCCTGAGCTTTCATTTGGATGTTAAAGCTAAGGTCGTAGAGAGCTATCATGTGAGCATACAGTTCTGAGAAAATGTAGCTGTCATTCTGTGATTGTATCTTAGCTCCCAGAAGCACTAATGCTACTCTTGAATGCTTTTCAAAAGTAGAACATACAAATAATGCTCTTAAACTTAAAAAAAAAGTCCTCAAATTTACTGTTTATAAACCATTTCCAGTTGTTTCATGATGCAGAGCTTCTACAGATAGAAGACACTTTAGAAGTAATATGTGATAGTCCAGTGCCATTTCCATGGGAAAAAAACAAATTTTATATTTTGTGTTTTAATAAAAGTGACTCAGGGAAAGTTTTTAAATTATGTTTTTCACTTAAGCAATTACAAATATAATTTCATATGTTTTTGGAATGTCACATATCAGGAAGCCCACTGGTTTAATTAGATTTGTATCTTTATGCCAGTAGTATTTTATCCATATAGAGCTTAGTAATCACGGAAAGCATCATCTGAATATGTATATGTGTTTGAATCACATTCAAGTGCAAAAGCCATGACAGGTTCCCAAAATGAGATTTATATATGTTTTAACCAAACTTGCAGCCAACCTTTCAAGGTCAGTTTGGAGTTTCTGTGAAAGACAGAGAACTAAAAGATACTTTAAACTTGCTGGTTTAGAAGAGTTTGAGGAATGGAATGGAGGACAGTGTCAGAACCAGTTTGGAACCACTGGACCAAATGTGGTTTCTGTTGTTTCCAGTTAGGATAAATTGGTGTGTCTGGAAGCCAGTCTTAGTTCTTGCTTTATAACCTTTTATAATGTTTTTGTTATTTAAAAATAATAGGAACACTTCCATAGCTTTAAAGAGAAGGCTTTGGGGTGTTGTCCTCTACTGCACTTGTTTTGTTGTCCTTAGGCTGATGCCTCCACTCACTGCAAAGCGCTGAGTTACTTTGTGACCCACAGGCAGAGCAGGAGGCCCAGACACTGCAAAGTGCCCACTGGTGCACTTCAGGGATTTGTTGCAATCTTGTCAGCTGCTGTGGAGACTGCCCAGGTTTCCTGTGACACAAACTCTTCTTGTTTGGATGCAGTGTGCTCAGTTTCATTCTTAAAGGTTATATATCTGCAGTCAGGTGATAGATTAGCAATGAGGCAAGTGGGAAAAGAATAGTCTGTTTCATGTCTTAAAGCACATTTGAGAGTGAATGGAGCTAATAGACTAATTCCAGGAAAATAGGTTTGTTTGACTTTTTTTAAATGGTCCCTATTTGCACAAAAGTTGAGCATAATCTTCAGTATATACATGTCAGAATTAGAATATGGTTCAGAAAAGAATCTAGGTCTTAACTGAGCCTTAGTCTGGGTGGAAAAAACAGGCTGAATTTTCCAACTGCTCGTGCAAAGAAGCAGCTATGAAAGTACATGCCACTGTTTTGTGTCTTAGATCTCTCAGATTATTATATCATGTAGTAGATTCTTAGGTATGGCTGGATTGAAAGAAAATTCTAGTTACCACATTTTAATTGATAACAAATAAGACAAATGAGTGCCTTAGGTTGAAGGTAACTCACAAGTTATAAACTTACAGAATTGATCATTAAAAATTCAACTACCATGTATGTATAGGTACTTACAATGAATGTTACATGGTTTTACCTTGTGGTTAATTTAAAAATCATGTGTCCTGTTAAGTAGTGGAAAATGGTCAGAAAACTATCACTATAAAAATAGATTGTCAGTCACATCCTGAGCTCTCATTTCTCAGGAGTCCCTTGAAAAAGGTTTGCCCCAGACTCATGTGTGTTTGTGAACATTGTCTTTCAAGGGTCTCCCCAGCTGGCCGGGTAATATTCTGCCCCCGCTCCATTTTCCTAAGCAGTATTGGAACAAGCCAGAGAGCCCTTGCCACTCTGAATAAAAATATTCTAGCCCCTCAAACTCTTAATCTTAGGTTAAGAATTCTTTTTGAAAGGATTTGGGAATGCTCTATGTGAAAGTTTTTTGGGAAAAGGCAGTATTGTGAGGGATTTTGTTTTGGGTGTAGTGAGATGTCTCCGTCTCCTGGCTGGCTGCGTTTTTTTCCAGCCCTAGCCGTACATTTTGCAGGCTCCTGTTCGCTGCCGCTGCACCAGCACCAGCAGCTCTGGGGGTTGGTGAGCTGCAATCTGTTATGGAGATAAATAACGCACTTGGCATGACACTCCCACTCTCCTCTTTAATTTGTCTTACACAAGGAAAATTATAATTAAATCATTCAGGGTAAACCCTTGAGTATAGAGAAGGGAAAAAACACACTTTGGTAAAGATAACCAATAGAAAGAAACCTGCTTCTCTGTTGCACAGGGTCCACACATCTCTCTCAGTATTCAGCACTGTGACAGGAGGAATAGCCCATGTGATTTGGGAGGTAATACCTACACCCAGATCAAGGCTTCTTAATATCCTGTCCCTTTGCAATCACGGACATTCAGCATCATCAGAATTCAGGACTGGCGCCGTGCTTCATGCTTTGATTTTCTCCCGACAATTTAATCACATTTATTGTGCTGATTATATATAAATTCATTGGTGCAGTAAACGTACCCCTGTCAACAGTGCCTGAGAGAGAATCGGGGGTAGGGGGTGGGGATGAGATGGTTTCAGCTGCAGAAGCCAAATGGAGCTGACAGAAGAAAAAGGATCTTCCTGACTTTTACTGTCAGGTAGTTGTGGTTCCATAGGTAAATAACAAAGTTCAAACCTAGGCTACTGGTAAACAAAAGATACTATCTTGTTTTCTTAACTTATCTGACTGTCTTGCTTTAGGAATTCCAAGTTTTGGTGTGGGTAAACAAAATCAACAGAATGCAAATGAAACATTTATTAAAATGCTAAATTTAGTAAAGCCCTTGGAGCTTCTTGGATCAAAGCAGCTATGTAAATACAAATAGCAATTACTACTTAAATAATTGCCTGAATTAAAATTATAAATATCACATTATGTTATGGTATATTAGGGAAAGGGAAGGGAGCTCACATTTAATCAGTTCTTTCTCTGTACCAAGCACTGGCTAAACTCTTGCCTTTGGAGTCATGTCTCATTGTATCCACATGACCCCTGGGAAGCAGTAGGGATTATTATATCCATTTTACAGATGAAGAAATTGAGTCATAGAGATTAAATAACTGACCTAGGGTCACAGAACTGGTTAGTGGCATAACCACGATCCAGATTTTAAGCCTATCTTGCAGTGTTTATAATACAGCACTTAAAGTTTCCATTCAGCTTAGAAGTGAATATAGCCATGCATCTACAATGACATTCCAATCATGGATGGACTGCATGTAGGACAGTGGCCCCATAAAATTATAATGGAGCTGAAGAATTTCTGTCACCCAGTGATAATGTCACAGCGCGTTACACGTTTGTGGTGATGCTGATGTAAACAAACCCATTGTGCTGCCAGTCGTATAAAAGTGTAGCATATACAATTATGTACAGTACATATTACTTAGCAATAACCAACTTATTGGCTTCTGTATTTACCATGGTATAGTTTTTATTGTGTAAAACAGTATGCCATTTTCCACGAACCTCTGGCAGCAGCCTACATAGTATGAGTATACATCTCATATTATGTTGTGTTGATTGCATCATTTTCACATGCTTGATTTAATCTGGTGTTGTTTTGTGCAGTAACATGGGGCACAGTCTTACAGCCTAGGAGCAATAGGTTATACCATGTAGCCTAGATGTGTTGTAGGCTGTACCATCTAGGTTTGTGTAAGTGCACTCTGTCATATTCATTCAACAACGAAATCACCCAACGGTGCATTTCTCAGAATGTATCCCTGTCGTTAAGCATCACATAACTACTTAATTATGATAAATTAAAGTCAGTGTTCCTAAAAGAATTTTCAAATTTAATTTAAAATCAATTCAACAACACATGTATTCATTTAACCTACTGTGTGCAAATCAGAATATTTAAAAGAAAAAGCAGTTTCCTATTTTAACTTGGATCCAGATATTTACTAGGCCTTTCATAATGGGGGAGGGTGGGTAGGATTAGCAAAATATAAATTACATGGTTTGAAATAGCACATAAAAAAAACAAAAATGAACCCCATGCAAGATTTGTACACAAGCAAATGCAAAACAAGCCTCTCTTTCTTTTAAAAGTATCCTCACTTTCCTTCCTGCCTTATAAATCTTACACTTCCTCATGGAATACATCATATGGTCTTTATTTTACTTCAGCTGTCCTCTGCAGTACGTATTAGAAATATTCCTTTTTTTGTGATCCTTCCCAGATTTTTGCTTTCAGCTCATCCACCATCAGTGGGTGTTTTATAACTTTAGTATTTCTCAGTTTCATAGCTCTTATAGGTATTTGCTCCAAGGCTTC